GGGTTCAGGCCGGAGCTCCGGTTCGGAGGCGGGAGGGGGCTGCGCCTGGACCCAGGGCAGGCGCGCGGCGGGCCCAGGCCAAGGGCCACGGCCCCTCACTGCCCAGAAGGGCCATTTTGCATTTTCTGCCGGGCGTAAGGGGTGGTGGCCGCCTGGGCTGGAGATCACCTGATAAAATGAGGGGCCGGCAGCGCGGACCCGCCTTCGCGAGCCCGGCCCCCCTTACTGTAGATACCGCCGCCGTAGTGGTCCTCGTTACCGTATATACGGCCGCACTGGTCGGCTTCCGTTACCGTAAATACCTCAGCCTTGGCCAGTTTACGTTACTGTAAATGCCGCCGCCGGGTCCATCTTTAGTTACCGTAAATATTGCCGCCTCCGCCGGCCCCTAAGACAGTGGACAAGGCCGCGCGTGCGGGTCTTGGATACCGTAAATACTGCTGCCCAAGCCCAGCGCGCAGCTGCGGACAGTGCCGCAGTGGCGGCGGCGGTGGTGTCACCACCCAGAACTGCCATTGCAGTACTTAAAAACCTGCCGCGGCTTTGATCTTGGGACAGTGGTAAATAAGAACGGAAAGGCGGGTGAAGGGATAGAGATGCTAGCTTTAAGAGTTTGCATTCCTGAATATATTACCTCCTGAGATCTCTGCACCTGTACGCTCCTTTTTCAAACTCACATCTTACACACAAGCACACACATCCGCACACTTTTTGATCCCTACCTTAATACTATTATACCTTTGATCTCGACAAAAGCTCCAAATCAGGAGGTCTATGGCATTATTTTCAACAATTACCACTTACTAAGAAATTGAAAATGAGCACCTGTAATTGTCATATACTATTTGTACTTGTTAAAACGAGAATATGAAATTACACTTCGTAGCCTGTTTTTTAACCCCCAATATACATATAGTGCAGAGAGGATTAGAGGCCCATTCAGACTCGTGCCCTCTCTCCTGACCTCTTAGGGACAAACCTGCCAGAGTCGCCACTTTCCACTTTCTCTGTTATCTCGCACTTCATGTCTGTCACCTCATAGAGTTTTTGCAATGGGTGAAAATTTCAATAGCTTTTAAGAACTCTACTATATTACAAAGATATGTAAGATCTTGATCCAGAAAACGAAGAAACTATTGCGATAAATTGAAAAAAACCTAAATGGACAGATATGTAATACTTATGAGTTGAAAGATTCTATATTGCAAAGCTATCATTTTTCTCCAAATTAAACAATATATTCAACCCTAATAAAAATTCCGACTAGGTTAAAAAAAAAAAGAGAACTGGGCTGTAACATGTATTCCTTAATTTCGAGCAAAATGACATGGAATATTACAACCGATAGTTAAATATAAGTCCCATCAACACAGGAGTTTGGCCTGTTAAATAAAAAACAGCATGTTACACAGTTTACACAGTACCAGTTGGCACTTGGTGTAAATATTACATTTGATTAAATTTTAAATAAATGTGAGATCCATAATTCATGTTTATTTTAAGGCTCTGTTAATAACAAATAAATATACCATGTAATGTTTTGGATGTAACATTATCCCCAAATTTTTGCCCAAATCATGCTGTACTTTTAGATCTTTGAGTAGTAGGAGAAAGGAGGCCTATAGAAAATCTGGGAAAACAGAAAAAGTTACTAAATATCACTGTCATTTTCCCATTCAGTCACACACCCATCCTCCATTTATCCATTCATTTATTTAATATTTATCAAGCACCTACCATGTGCTAGGTATTCTGATTGGTGTTGGGTGAGACAAAAGACATGGGTCCTTGTGGAGTTTATACACTAGTGAGGTAGAAATATGTTCAACCATCTAAATGCAAATCAATATATTTATTACATAATGCAAATTATATAAGTCCCTGAAGAGAAAGAACAGGGTTCTCTAGAATAAGGGAAAGTTCAATTTAAATTGGAAGGGGAGAGGATTTGTTTATGATACAGACAAGGCCTTTCAAAGGAAAGGATATTTGAACTGAGATCTGAAGGGTATATACCAATTCCTTTTCTGTTATAACTGATTTGCTAAACTTTATTAACTACTATCAGGTGAGATGGATAACCTTTTGTTTATATGTTAAAGCTGGCTTAAAATAGAAACAAATATAGGACAGATTTTTAAAATTAAGTACATAAAATAAAATGTATCTAAATGAGAATTCACTCACGTTTATGAGCACATTAAGAAGAACTAGAAGACAATGTTCTCTATTGGTACCCTATATAGTAAACTGAAAAAATAATTCTTAGTATCCTAGGAAAAAATGCTCTGCTCATTTTGCTCACATTTCAATTTCTTTCTAAACACTTGTAATTTCATACCAATGATAAGAAAATTAGATCTATAAGATAAATTAAAATAAAATATTTAATGTTTATATATCACTGTTAGTTAAATTTAACATTTTTTCTTTAATCCAGAGTGATTTTTAATTCACAAATCATTGGGTGTTATAAGTAAGTAATTTCTAATGTCAAAGAATGATTATGGATCTGAAAATAGAATGATTATGAATCTGAAATATATGTGAAATATATGAAAGTGTTACAAAGGATAGGGTGTGTAAAGGAATTATACTCTCAAAGAGTTCTAATATTTTATGTAAAGTAGCATGATATTGTACTAAGATTTGTAATATGTTACCCATAGAATTTTCTGCAGTGATGGACATGTTCTATATCTGCATTGTTTTTTTTAAGGTAGCCACTAGTTACACATACTTATTGTGTACTTAAAATGTGAGTATTGTGACTGGAGAACTAAACTTTAATTTTATTTAATTTTAGCTAACTTAAATTTAAAATTTAAATGATCACATATGGCTAGTGGGAACCATTTTGTACAATGCAGCCCTAGAGTAACCACTAAAAAATAATGAAAAGTAGCATAATAAAAATAAGGAAAAGTAAGATACCTAAAAAGCTAATAAAATTGAATGCCAAAAAGAAAAAAAAGTTCAAGTAAGCCCAAAGAAAGAACAGAAGAAAACAAACAAATGAATTCAATAGAAAACAAATAGCAAAATGGCCGACTTAAATCCAACCATTTTTATAATTACATGTAAATGGACTAAACTTTCCAATTAGAAGGCAGAGAATAAAAGATCTCACTTTATACTGTTTATAAAGCACACACTTTATATACAGACACAAATGGGTTGATAGTAAAAAGAAGGAAAAATGTATATGATGGTATATTAGTTTCCTAATGCTGCAGTAACAAATTACTATAATCGAACAAGCTTAAAACAATAGATATTCATTCTCTCACAGTTCTGGAGTCCAGGAATAGAAATCAAGGTGTTGGCAGGCCTGCATTGCCTTAGAGAAGCCCTCCTTGACTCTTCTAGCTTCTGGTGGCACCTGGAGATCATTGACTTGTGACAGCATCGCTCAAATCTCTGCCTGTCTTCACTTGTTTTCTTCCCTATGTCCCTATGAATCCTTTTCTGTCCTTTATAAACCAGTCTCTTTGGATTTAGGACCCCCCTAATCCAATATGATCTCATCTTTATCTTTACCTTAATTAAAATCTGCAAAGACTCTATTTCCAAATAAGGTCATATTTTGAGATTCCAGGTAGACATGAATTTTTAGGAGACACTATTTAACTCACTACACATGGAAATATTAATCATGAGAAACCTGA